AATGTATTAATTTTTTTTTAAATTTGTGTAATAAAAGCTTAATAGATCCGGGCTTTAGTTCATCTGCATCGCTTCCTAACAAGTTAACTACTTGGAAAATACATACTCTCATGAAGTGAGGCCGTTTGTAAAGTTAATATATTATGTGTTTACGGAGAAGCTATAATTATTTGTTTTCTTTAAAAAAAATTAAAAGATTGTGTATGGAATTTTGTATGGAATTAGATGTTAAAAAATATGATGTGTTTTTAATTTTTCAATGTGTGATTAATTATTTTTTTTCCCAAAAAACATCCTTAATAAACTAACCATTCAATTCTTCCCCTTAAATGAAACCCCCTGCTGAATAAAGACAAAAATAAAAAGATTGTATTATTTTAAAGAAATTTAACTAACTTATTATGATATGTAATTTAATTAAAAGATTTTATATTTTTTAATAGAGAAAATATTACTTAATAAGTTACTTGACAATTGGATAAATGTGTAAATTTTAACTTTAAAACCTTGTTTGATACGCAGTCATTTTTAATGGAATGAAAATAAAGTGGTAGTGGAAATAAGACCAGCGGTGGAGGTAAGAATGAAATTTAAAAACATATTTAGTATGTCAATGAAATGCTAATATAATTTTTATTTAGTATTTGTAATATAACAACAAAATATTATTTTTACCCCTGGCATTAATTTGAAGAACAAAAAACAATCTAAACGGTAAAAATCACAATCAAGTACCCTCAAATACCATTAATTATATCACAAAATTAAATGATTCTGATATTACTCGGCAAGACCAAAATACTTACTTTTGTATGAAAAGATAAAAATACCTTTCATGTCTATATTATATATGCTTTGAACAACTCATCATTCTGAAAAAAAAAGTCCCGTTAACATTTTAACAATAATTAATTTCCTTATTAACAACTTTAAAAACTTAATTTGGTAGTAAAGAGAAACAAGTGTTGTGATTCGATAAACAAATCTCCATTCAGAAAAAATAATCCCATTCATATATTAACAAGAATTAGTTTCCTTATCAATAACTTTAAAAATATAATTTGATGGTGGATAGGAACGAATGTTGTGATTTAGTGAACAAGTTTCATTAAAAAAAAAGTCCCATTTTTCATTATAATAACAATTAGTTCCTCTATTGACAGCTACAAAATATTAATGTGGTAGACAAATTATTATAATCTAATGAACAAATATTCATTCAAGAAAAAAAAAGAAGTTTTATTTCCATTTTAACAACAAACAATTCCTTTAATATAACAAAAATATATTAGGGATACTTTTGTCTTTCCATAACAATTTTTAATTATATTTAGATCCTTTGATCATGCAGAGTGATATCAAAATCATTTAATCCTACAGCATAATTAATTGTCTTTAGGGGTCTTTGATTATTATTTTTTCCATTTTTTAAAAAAATCCCCAAATTGAACAAGTACCCAAGTTAAATTGCAACAAGCAAGGAAGGTGAATGAGGCTCTGATGGTACCATGAACACTTGAACACATCTTCATTAACAGAGGGATGTGAACGTCGAACGGAGAAGGATCTAAATCATGAACAACAGATAAGAGCATCGAACTTTGGTGAAGAAATGGCATAGATCCCATATTTGGGTTGCGGAGAACATTTATTTAGCAACAAGGGCCTCAAATCTAGGTTGCCAATGCTGGAGGGGACAATTGGAGATGAAAGGAAGTCCAATGTCACCGGATGAGAGTGCTGCTGGAGAGTGAGGTTTGAAAACAAAAAAACAAAAAAACAACGAAAAATGCGAGGTGGTCGATTGGTGATAGAATGAAGAAACGAGATAAAAGGTAGTTTTGTAAATATAAATTTTAATTAAGGATAACTTAATCAGTTAAAAATTTGTTCTCGATAAATAAATCTACTCCCACAATCCACCGACGGGATTAAGATTATCTTAAATGAGGCAATGAACTATTCCAGTTGAATGATCACTTCCACACACCAAATAAGATAATGAATCACTCTTACTCTCGTTTTCATTCTATTACCTCCCATGCCACCGTAACAAACATAGCCCAAGACAAGTTAAGACTTTTAGTAAATCGTGTAACATGGACTTTGTTGTTTTCCAGTAATTTACACTTTCCCTGCCTATTTATCCAACCGCGATATTCTCTCTCTATTTTACAATACACGTCTTTCTAGAGGAAAAAAATTGTTTTATATTACGAGTCTTTTTATAAATGCAAAGCAACGTCCGTGACTTTATTTTATTCTATCTCACGCCTATTTAATTCAAAAAATTTAAACGAGGGATTAATTTACAAAAGTAAACGAAGAACGTGTTTGATAATGTAAAATATAAATAAGTTTTTAATGTATATAACATTAAAAATACTGCTGAATAAATATAAACAAGTCAAGCTTAAGTTATGATTTGGTAACGATAGCGCGTCAACTTGTGGATTTTACAGCCAACTGGACTTGAACTCGCGCATTGCATGAAATTGATACGTCACAATTGGATAATTATTAGAACGGAAAAAAATAATTAAATTTAATCCAATCTTATAAAGTGATATTCCTTAATTTCCTTAATTTCATTTAGCATGATCTTCTATTTCTATGCCATCTTGCCAGTGGGTTGGTCGCGTTGTCATCGAAGAAAAAGGACTAATCAATGTGTTTTATTTGTACCAGGCTTGATGGAACCCTTGGGATCCCTTATGCTCTCCATTTGGTTCCGTTTCTCTCTATTTCTCTCTATTTCTTTTTTTCTTTTTACCGCCACTCAATACTTACTATATCACTATGATCTTACCATCTGCTCTTTTCAACACTCCAATTTTAGAAAGGGATAATGGCAATAAATTTTTTTTAACTATGTAAATGACATCTTAGACCGCGTTTAGATAACTCACATCTCACTTTCATAACATGCTTTTTTACTTTTAAAAAGTAAGATATTATTTGAGTATTATATATCACTCAAAACTAACTTTTTAAAAATATTTTTTGAATATCATTAAATATGAAACTGATGAAAAGGACGAGGAGAAGCTTTTGTAATGTGCTTTTGAAACATGATCCCTTTAATTTTTAATATAATCATGTCATCTCAAACTTTTTAATGACTTATACTTTTAATCTCTCTTTATATTCTTGTCACACAAAATTTATTTATAATTTTTTACTCTTGGGGTTATTTTTGTACAATTATTTTTATTTCACTATTAATATTTCAAGTACGGTTTTTGATAGAAGGATGAATAAAGTTTGTGATCGAATTAGAGACCATCATACATTATAAGTTGAACAACTAATAATGTTAATTTTCAATACTAATATATGTTAAACTATTTAGTATTTATAATATAATTTTTTTCAACATATCAAACTTTATATTTTTTATTACTATTTAACATATCAAATTTTATGTTATTGAAAATTTTTAAGAAAACATGCTTTTTGATTCTTGCACTTTGCTAGTATTTTGCTATATGTCCTCACATTTTTTTTCAGTATTTTAGATTCCTACACTTTTATTTTCATGTTTTGGATCTCCAAATAAACAAAATGAATATAGTGTAGGAACCTTGGATGAATGTAAAACATTAAAAAATAAAAATATAGAGATTTAAAAATATAAAAAAAAAGTACAGAAACCTATATCAAAACATGAACAAAGTGCATAGACCAAAATGTATGTTTTTTCAAACTTTTATCATTTTTTTAAACACTTCTAATATATTACATTTGTATAACAAAATTTACAAATCATTATAAATTAATGTTTATTTTGATAATTGTACATTTAAAAATATATTTTATTATATATAATCCAAAAAATTTTCAGTTTACTAAACTGACTTTAGAAAAAATATATTCAAATATAAATTTTGTTACAACAAATGACTTTCAATAAATGAACTTTCAGTAAATGAACTTTTAAAAAATTAAAAACTAAACACATACTTAGTCCCTCAAAACATCATAATTTTTTTGAAGTTCTTAAGGATTTTTCTATCATTAAAAAAATAATATAAAAGATTAAATTATCCTTAATTGAAATAAAAATTCTAAACCTGAGAACAGATATTTCACACCCTTGATTCGTAAGTTTTGTTCTAATATCATAATTTTTCCTTCTAAAATTGCAAAAAATTAATAATAATTCGCAAGTTTACATTTAAAATTTTGATATTTTTTAAGTGTTGTAAGTATCAATTATTATTCATAAGTTTTGTTTTAAAACTCATAACTTTTCTTCTTAAATGTGCAAAAATTCACCAGCAATACAAGTTCGCATTTGATATCTAATTATTCCTCAGATGTTGCAAATATTGATTATCATTTATAAATTTTATTTTAATATTCTTAATTTTTTTCTTAAATATATAAAAATTCAACAGTAATTCACAAATTTGAATTTAAAATCTCAATATTCTTCAAATGTTACAAATATCAATTATCATTTATAATTTTAGCTAATATTCATATCTTTTCTTCCTACATTTATAAGAATTTAATAGCAATTTACAAGTATTTGTTTTGAGACTTGTGTTTTTTATTTCAATAAATAATAATTTTTTACATTAATTTTGTAATAGAACTTTTAAGAAATTATAACATTTTAAAAAAACTAAAATATCATTTATATAATTTAAAAAAATTTTAATTCATTTTTTCTTTTAGAAACACCTCATGATCTGGGCAAGCAAGCAATCTAGTGCGACGATGCGATCTAAATTTTTGTTATCGAATAACAACAGAAATTCGGAATAATTTTTGTCACAATATTTTTCACGGCAGTGAAACTGCATTTTTTCAAATGAAAAAAGAAATCGTGGTTCGTAAAAAATAAATAAATAAATAAAGCAACGCATTTTGAACCGAGATCACCGTAAATAATTAGTAATTGCAAAAAAAAAAAAAATCAGAAAAAAAATATAAACGAAAAATAAGTCTTGGCAATAATAAATCGAGGGCCAGCGTTCTCCGAAAGATCCTTCGCTTGGAAGAACAATAAAATCCAAGAAGAAACGTTAACTCCCTCGACATGGCGATAGCTTAGTCTTCGGCTTCAACTTCAGATTACCAGATTTAACTTTACCGAGTGATGGGTTCAATGCCGAGTCTAACTGAATGAAAATTCACAACCAAACACCCCAGGAAAAGACGCAGATATCTGCTTTTCATCGAGTCCATTCACGCTCCTTGCTAGTTTGCGGCGAAACCCCACTCTCTTCCCCTATTCTCAAAGCTCTGTGCCAATATCTTCCTTTCTCATTTTTCCATCTTTCTCTAGATCTTACCCTTCTCGCTCTATTCGGTCCACTTTCAGTTTCGGACATGTCCATTCTGGACGTGCTGACGTTTTCGGCCAAGTAAGAATTCTCTGCTTGTGTACAATGCACTGCGCTTCAAATCTGAAGAATATAATCTGCATCTGGACGGGATCGGCGGGATCGTTTCAACAAGTGTATTGAATCGGCTGCAATGGGTTCGAACCAGTCCGCCCAAGTAATCAAAGAGAACGACGAGGAAGAGGAAGAAGACGATGATGAGAGGAATATCAACGGTGAGAGGGATATATTGGAATCGGATAATCATTTGTTGAAGAAAGTGTTGGAGCAAGAACCGGAGATGCTACCGTGCCGTGCATCAGCATCGCCCTTGTCCCCGCAGCTTTCTTCCTTAGGAACGCCGCGGCTTGGCCCCTCCATCAAGGTCTGGGATCCTTACAATGTCCTGGCTCCGCCGCCGCCTCTGCCGCCTCCTCCAGTGTTCTCGAGGAGATTCTCCGCGAACGCAATGGATGATGACCAGACGGAGGTGTATCTGATCAGCCATGGAGAGTGTGAATTGAGTTTGAGGCCGGATTTGGTTGGGGGTAGGTGCCCTGGAGCGGCGCTGACGCCGAATGGGAAGCGTCAAGCGAGGGCTTTGGCCGTGTTTTTGAAGTCGCAGGGTGTTCGGTTCAGTGCTGTGTATTCTTCACCATTGGATCGGGCACGGTCAACGGCAGTCTCTGTCTGCAAGGTACGCATTAAACAATCTACATGTGCTCGGTTTGTGTTGAGTAATAGTTTTGAAGCGTCTTTAGGGGTAAGAAAAGAAAAAGCAATACAGTACAGAGCTGCTTTGATGGAGTCTTACAAATAAACTCTACAAAATTCTAGTTATATATATTACGCTTAATTGCCTACTCATAAGGAATTGGTAGTCTAAAAGCCATAAACCATGGGAGTGGAAGGCGATGAAGTGACATTGATTTTACAATATCGAGTATGTATGGAATGGGAAATAATAGATCATCATCGTTGCTTTATCATTGATGTGGATAGCAACTTTGCCGGTGGCCGTCCAGGGTTGATAATCTGGGTGTCGATTATATCTGTTATTTACAGCAATTGCATGTTTCACTTCCTCAAGACATCTTTCAAACGAACAGGTTAAAACCGTCTGATTAATTGTTATAATCTGTAAGAAATAAAAAATACAGAACTTGCTGTTACTGATAACTCGTGTTTGTATCAGTGACGATAGCATATTCTCTAAATTCTAATCATGAAGAATTTGCGCAGAAGTGGGCTATTGAGATTCTCATTTAGCCATAGCTTGTTCGTTTTCATCTCTAGTATATGTCAAATTATTTTTCTTCACACAGACTGTTCCATAATATGAAAAGCAGATCAATTTTCTAGTAAATATGCTCCTGGGTCGGTCTTGGTTTCTAAGCTACTACTTCGACTCACTAGCAACTCGGCAGAGAAGGGAGAAAGATAGAGTAGGAAGTGATAATGGGAAGTTTGATTGCTCATGTACAAATCGATTTTTTCGTTCAATCTCTTATTTTCACGGTGAATTGAGATGATCCATTTACCACTTTAAAATTGCACTGGAGATGACATGATGAAATGAATCTGAGATGAAAGATGTGGAAGGATTTTAAGAGAACATGTCTTGTGTTCTATATGTTGAAACCTATGCTTAAACATAATAAACTTTTGTCAATTAAAACTGACAACAAGCATCAGACACTTAAATTGATTACGTGCTTATGCTCTCATTTCTTGCTTCTAACATTGACATAAAAACACTAAAACAGTCCCTTATCATCACTGTGCTAAATATTTTCAATTACAATAAAGATGGATGCGTTTATTAGAACGTTGAAATATGAGCGGGTAAGTTTGAGATGGAATTAATGTGTTTATGAAATTGGAGATGAAAATGAAAAAAATGGTGAAAGATTCATTGCTGTTTATTACTGTTTCTATTGATTGCTTGTTGTCCATAGATTCAAAGCAGGCTAACTGATGCAGAAATTATCATAACCTCAGAAAGTTAACATCTTTGGTGTTCAATGATAATCAACTAAGGGCATGGGATGTCTTAAATTCCTCGACAAAGTTATTTTAGACACTAACGGGCTTGAATCAGTGGTGAAGAACTGGAAGTTTGAGCAAGTCTCATTTGACTCTAGAGTCAAAACTAGGACTGAAGAACTGTGTTAGTGACCTTCTAGTTATAAGACACATACAAATATGAAATTCAGCTTTGATTGAGATGAAGTGTGTGTATAATTGTTTTGTATTGAACTTTACTTGCCTTTGGAATTTCACTTAGATGAATGCAGCATTGCTGATGAGAAATGTACATATTATGTTACGAAATTTAGTGCTTGAAATCTCATTGTACAAAGCTTCAATTGCCAGGAAGTCGATTTTTCTGAGGAACAGATTCAATCATCAGATGCTCTTGAAGAGATGAGTCAAGGGAATTGGGAGGGATGTTCTCGATCAGACATCTATACATCTGAGATTTTGAGCATAATTGATAGGTTCCAGCCAGATTTCACAGCACCGTCTGGAGAATCACTTAGACAGGTGGAATTCCGGATGATTCACTTCTTAAATGGAATCCTGGGACTGCCTGGAAAACTGAGGTTAGATCTCTCCTCACATCCAAATGAGAGCCAGGCATTTGCACAGCACAGCTCCCATTCTTTGAACAACTCCGTTCATGACCAAGACGGATCTCCTCTACATCCAACCCAATGGGATTTACTCCACAGGCATCATCGACCAGGACTATCAAGGAAAAAATCTGGTAAGAGCAGGCTACAGTTTGTGACAACCACTGGAGATGAGATTGAAGATGAAATTTCTCCTATTGAAGTGAACCACCAAACTTCCCTGCATAATTCAAGTTTCAGCAGCTTTTCGGCTCCTGTTTCACATATTGGCATCTTCACTCATTCGGTGCCAATTAAGTGTCTCCTGACAGGGCTTCTTGGATGCAGCCCTCTGATGTCACATAAGATCTGCATAGATGATTCTTCGGTGACTGTGTTGCAGCATTCTTTGAAAACTGGTTGGCGGATAAAAAGGCTCAATGACACAGCCCACCTTAGGCTTCTTTAATTAAAGGAAGTTTCATTCACAGGAACCTGAATTTCGATGTTGCTTCGATTTATACATTTAGCGTGGTTGTTGTTGCTATTCGCTTGACTTGGCAGTTCTTGTTGTAGCCTTTTAATTAATCCTGCACTAGTCGACTCCCAACAATATGATACAGGAGTTGAATTGTTGTATCAATTCTTTTGATTTGTGGCACTTGTCAAGTTGATTTTATACATCTACATGTTACATATGTAATGTACTTCCAAGGGTGAAATTTTGAAATTGAAGAGCTTTGATGAACCTTTTCCGCCCCTCCCCCCATCAGTTAGATTAAAGGATAAGATATTTTTCATGAACTATCTTATTCTTCCAGCTCTTATGAGACTGGGACCACAGGCGAGGGATGCCAGTCTAGCCCGTTGAACATGAAAAGGGCTGATTTTACACCAGGCTGTGTTGTTTACCTTCGATTTGTCACCAACTCTGTAATAGCATGTACCATGCCGAGGGGATCAGGCATTCAGTGAATGTTGTCGGGCGTTTCTCACTTGATTGGTGAACTTTCAATTAATATTGCCACATTTCCTTTCCTCTGTCGTATTCTATCCTCTCCTCCTCTCGAGAATTTTTCACTCTTCTTGTACGTCTGTCATCTTTTGGTCCGGGAAAATCCCCCTCGTAATATTTTCAGCAATGAGAATAGATCTGAGTATGATCGTCACATGTGGGGCCCTTGTCCTGTCCACGTGACCCATGTCACATGGGGTAGCGTACTAGGCAGCAGTTCCTAGCCGACGGGTAGGGGGTCTTCTTTTCTCTCCACTTCTCCAATCTTTTACCCATCATTAATTCTATGATTAAAAAATGATTTAATAAAATGATATGAACGATAAAGATGGGGGAAGTGAAGAGGGGGAAAGTAAAGGAGGGATCTCCTCCCCGCATCGGACCCCTCGTTTAAAAAGCAAAAGCCTTGAGCATGTGAGAGAACCTTATCTTGGCAGCATTACGTGGTGTTGGCTTATCCCCTCCGTAGGTTCAGCTTAGCGGAATCTCTTCTCTACCAAAAATAAAATAAAATAATTATGAACTGGACAATGAGACAATAGAAATACAACTCCGCCGTCTACCCCGTGATGCTCATCAAATTCACCAACACACACATTCACTCTGATGCACCATTTGCGTATCTTCCCTCACTTGTTCCCACGACTTGCTTTGCATCCTTCTGTTCAGCTCAAATCTTCTGTAACTAATGGCTTCAATGTCCCCATTTACTGTCCTCGTCTTCTTGGCTGTCTTCTTTGCCAATTCACAAGTTCTAATTTCCACTACCGATCATCCAAGAACAACTTCATCAGCTTCTCCAGCAGTTTCACCCTACGTCACTGCACCTAATATCTCATCATTCTTCCCTCGTCCAACAGGCGTCGATCATGGAACACCGAGTTCTGCAGCTTCCCCTCAGGCAGAAGCACCCGGACCGAGTTCAGGCGAATTTGTTGGGAAGATTTTTTCCAGTTCAACCAGGTTGGATTGCTCAGCTGCCATTGTTGGGATCCTGCTCATCTCTAGTTTCTTGCAAACAAGCATGGTTGTTTGAGTCTGGTGTTTTGTATCGAGGATCGTTTTCAGTTTTCCAATAACGTACCTGCTGAAGATTTGATAAGCCCGTTTTAAGGGAGCCGTATGTTGCCAATTCAATCGAGTATTAGAAAATCAAATTTTATTTTTCTCGTTCCATCATTCCATGTTTCATAAGCTTTGAGCCTTTCAAAGCGACGGCCATATGAAAAGCCTTTTTTTTTTTTTTTAATGATACATGTATGTCTAACCACACCCCCCCCGGGCGTCTTTTTGACAGGTTCAAGAGTCAGGACCGATGACTAGGATTTTTTTTTTTTTTTGACAATCTCGTGGTCATATGTATTGCGATTTGAATTTCTTTAATTGGTCAATTGCCAAGCTAAGCGCAAGGAGAGAGATAAAATAAAGTGCAAGCGACCTCCACACTAGCAGTGCTATTTATTGAGAACTACTTTTCGATTATCTTTATCAGTTATTTCTATTAATTTTATTAATATTAATATAAAAAAATATAAATACATTATAATTTATAAATAAAATTAAATAAATCTTTTAAAATGTGGTTTATAAATGAACCAGAGGGAGTACCATGCAATGCATAATATTAATCAGCTTGAAACGAATTATTAATTCAACCTTCCATTGAGGCCTCGAGGGCGCTGAGATTTGAGAACTAGAGATCTAACCAGGATAACTCATCTCTTCTGTTAAAAATAAAAGCAAAAACGTATCCCAATACCTTTATAATTTAAAATATTGAATCAATTAATATACAACGTTTTCAATATAAAAATAAATAAAATTATCAACGACCATTTTTTATGAAAGTGTTAAGAGTGCATATATTTAATATGATAACAAATTAAAAAAATATAATCAATTACTCCCTCCTGATCATAATATAAAATATCTTTTAAAACTCTTATTTAGTCTAAAACATAAGATATTGGATACCTTTTATACTCCCTTCGTTTAAAAATATAAAGTATTTTTTGAAGAATTAGATGTTTGAAAATATAAAATATTTTTAATCTTTTGAGGCATAATCATTATTTTTTAAAAAGTACGATTAATGACTTTATATTTATTATAAGGTATTTCATAGAAGTAAATATGAAAAAATATGGTTAGTTAAAAATAGGTAACTACTTTATTAAAAAATAAAATTTAATTAAAAATACCTTACATTTTTAATGGAAAGAGTATTTATTTTTTCAACTATATTCTTACTTTATTTATTATTCATTTGAAAAAAATCATACATTAAAATTTTAATTATTATTATCATAACTCTTATACAGAACATTTAATGAAGATATAATTAAAAAATATGAATATTTTTAAAAAAAATTAAAATTTTAACTAATATTATTGATAAACTGTAAATTAATTATGATTTATATTATCATCCTCATGGAGTATGTGATAGTAATTTTATAATTTTCTTGTGTTTAGAGCCTTTGTCAATGGCTGATAGTACTTTTACACGACGCTACAAAAATCAACGTACAAGTTACAATTCAAAAATTTCCTGCTGAGGAAAATACAAAGAGAAGTGATCTCAAATTATCAAATTACAAGTTTGTTTTCGGCTGCTTGTGATGCGGCAAAATTTCCTTTCATAATCCTCTATTCGTCTCAAAACCTACAAGCAGCGGGCGAACCGTCGATGTGCAGTCCCAGACCCAGCAACTAGACATTTTCGGATTGCAACCTAGAAGCCTTACATTGACAAAAGTAACAAGACACCTGGTAATTCAATTACACGAATGAATGAAGATATCAGTATACGATTCATTTCTACTCAGTTTTCGTTGCGGGGTTTACAGGAAAAAACACTCGAGTTCGATCAACGCCAACCTTACGACCTGGTTCAACAAATATGTTGACCAAACAAGCGTCTCATCATGGAACACAGTCATTGCTGATTTCGCTCGAAGCGGCGATTCCGTTGAAGCTCTTCGAGCCTTCTCGTCCATCCGAAAGCTCGCTCTGCACCCGAATCGTTCTACCTTCCCATGTGCCGTTAAATCCTGCTCCGCCCTTTTTGATCTTCACGCGGGCAAGCAAATTCATCAACAAGCTTTAATCTTTGGCTTTGAATCGGACCTTTTTGTGTCCTCCTCTCTCATTGACATGTACTCCAAGTGTGGCGAGTTGAAGGATGCAAGAATACTGTTTGATGAAATTCCCATGAGAAACGTGGTCTCTTGGACGTCCATGATTGTTGGTTACGTCCAAAATGACAATGCCCACGAAGCAATATGCTTGTTTAAAGAATTACTGGTTGAGGAGAGAGAGAATGTGGTGGACCAAGAAGTTTTGGTTGATTCGATCGCTGTGGCTTCGGTTTTATCAGCTTGTTCTCGGGTAGGCTCGAAGAGAATGACCGAAGTGGCTCATGGCTTAGTGATAAAATGGGGCTTTGTGGGGTATTCAGGGATCTGCAATACTTTGATGGATGCATATGCCAAATGCGGCGAGCTAGATATGTCGAGGCAAGTGTTTGACGGGATGGGTGAAAAGGATGCTGTTTCTTGGAACTCTATGATTGCTGAATATGCACGAAATGGATTGTCTGACGAGGCATTGCAAATTTTTAGTGACATGGTAAAACGCGGCAATGTCATCTACAACGCTGTGACATTATCTGCTGTATTGCTAGCCTGTGCACATTCAGGATCTCTACGAGTCGGGAAGTGCATGCATGATCAGGTGCACGGTTTTTTTTTTTTTCTTTTTTTTTTGCCCATTTATTTATTGCCGGTTAATTCCAGCTTGTTCATATATGAAATATTCTGTAATCATTCATCAAGTTTTTGTCCAAGTAATTTGCTTCTACGCTCTTTTCAATCATACCATCCATTGTCTTCTATTTTAGGTAATAAAGATGGCTTTGGAAGACGATGTGTTTGTAGGTACCTCTATTATTGACATGTATTGCAAATGTGGGAGGGTTGATATGGCTAGGAAGGCATTTGATCGCATGAGAGAGAAGAATATTAAGTCATGGACTGCTATGATCACTGGTTATGGAATGCATGGCTATGGGAAAGATGCCATGGAAGTCTTCTACAAGATGATAAGGTCTGGAGTCAAACCAAATTACGTTACTTTTGTGTCAGTGTTGACTGCTTGCAGCCACGCTGGTCTTTTGGAAGAAGGCTGGCATTGGTTTAATAGAATGTACCATGACTTTAATGTTTCACCTGGGATTGAGCATTACTCATGCATGGTTGATCTCCTTGGGCGGGCTGGTTATCTTAATGAGGCCTATGGTTTGATAAAGGAAATGAAGGTGAGGCCTGATTTTATAATCTGGGGTTCCCTTCTTGGAGCTTGCAGGATTCACAAGAACGTAGAGCTAGGGGAGATCTCTGCAAGAAAATTATTTGAGTTAGACTCAAGTAATTGTGGGTACTTCGTGCTACTCTCCAATATTTATGCTGATGCTGGAAGGTGGGAAGATGTTGAGAGGATGAGAATAATCATGAAGAGATATGGATTACTTAAAACCCCTGGGTTCAGTCTAGTTGAACTTCAAGGTAGGGTACATGTATTTTTAGTTGGGGACAAAGAGCATCCTCAGCATAAGAAGCTTTATGAATATTTGGACAAACTGAATATAAAGCTGCGAGAATTAGGCTATGTACCAAATGTAACGTCAGTTCTTCATGATGTAGATGAAGAAGAGAAAGGAATGGTTCTAAGAGTTCACAGTGAGAAACTAGCTGTTGCCTTCGGAATCATAAATTCAGTTCCTGGTACAGCAATCCAGGTGATAAAAAACCTTCGGGTTTGCAGTGACTGCCATACTGTAATTAAGTTGATCTCCAAAATAGTCAATAGGGAAATTGTGGTAAGAGATGCTAAGCGATTTCATCATTTTAAGGATGGGCTATGTTCATGTGGAGATTACTGGTGACTGATAATGAAGGGAATAGGAATATTTGCTGTTGTTTCTCTCCATCATCGACGCTTGAACAGAAGCATAGTGCAGATGCCTTTATATTTACTTCGTAATGGCACTCATCTAAATTGCAAAGACCAATCAATTTGTTAAGGACTGGTCGGAGAATCAGATGCTTTGAATAACCGTGGTTTTAAAGCTAGTTTTTCCAGATGGCTGGCTTCCAATTCATAGATATATAACTATAAGGTCTTGGTACCAATGATACATTGCGTGTGTGTGTAACTAAGTACAGGGTCTTCCAAAAGGTAGAATTTTATTGCTAACTCGTCATTCATTTATGTTGAAATCATCGCCAAAAACCAGAAAATTTTGTAGTAAACTATAATGCCCTCAATACCACGAATGGTTATTTGCTTGTGGGAAAATTGGTGAAGTTCTTCTAGAATATATCATAACCATTTTGTTGCTTGGAACAAGATATCATGGAGAACAGCCTCTGAAGAGCTTGCTCACCGATATTCCTCCACGTCTTGAAGTCTGTGGTTGGTCATGTTCTGAATCAGCATTTGAGTATCTGGAAGAAATCTGAAGGACCTCGTTCTCGCGTTTCAATGCTTCAATGTCTAATTGGAGCTTTTTAATGGTTTCCCTCTTCTCATCATTTCTTCTCACCAACTCTACCAGCTGTTGCAGATTATCCTCTACAAGTTGTGTAATTTGAAAATCTAGGCCGGACCATATTTTGCCAAATCTGCAACGACTCATTGATGGATCTTCAATCGTTTGACTTGATTCAAGGCCCTCAATCTCCGAAAGGAAGTTTTCGTTGGTGGAAGAATCGGTCATTATTTCTTCTTCTAGAGTGCCTTTGCATTCTAATCCTGCTTTACAGATCACGCTGCTTGGCTTAACAGCTGATATCAGTCCATGAACACCTTCTAGCCTTTTCATTTGCCCATAATTAACGTCTATACCATCAAATTTTATATCAGGACCTTTGACGATAGATTTTAGATGACATTTGAAGCCATCCTCGAGGTTTCGGCCTCGTATGTTGCTTGTTGCTTTTTCATTGCAGGTAGCACAGAGGGTTATTGTTTTATTAGAAAATGAAGAGGACTCTGAATGAGAAGTATTGGATGTTTCAGACTTCAATTGGTCATATGCTATGGCTAAAGCCTGGTAAGATTTGCTTAACCCTTCGAGCATCTGTTTGAGATCTTTTCTCCCTTTCTGATGCATGTCAGCTCCTTGATCTGAACAATGGTCCTCTTTTAAAATGGTCACGATGGCCTTCATTTTCTCATCCAAATCTACAAATTAGTCAAAAATATTGGAATTTGTGAATGGAAAATGCTGGAGAACAAGGATCTTGTGAGAGAGAAATAATTTGTTGCCTTTTTGTCAACTCTTACAAGTTCCAGCTTGGTGGGCAAACCTAGAGATAGGGTTGGGAGGAGTCTCCTTATGGAGAAGATTAGAGAGGTTCAAAGTTCAAAGAAGCCCAATTGTTTTATGTTTAATGGCTTGATTGTCTTTTGCTCTTTATATGATTAAATTTCATAATACATCATTTACAGTTAACTTTTTTGGAAATTTACCCGCAAGCAGCTTTTGGGTGTGATTTTCTGGACCAAAACAGTTTCTAGTAGAATTGATTGACTTCAAATATTTTGGCTGTAGGCTCTAGCATACGACAAAGTTCAAACCCAACCCCCCTCACCCACCCTTGCATGGTTTTAATGGCCTAGACGAAGTCAAAGTACAACAGCACATATATTGTACCAAGAGTGGGAAGAGAATATTTTACAAAACCGAACGACTTTATTATAAAAAATATTTCAAAGAAAAAGTGCATGCTGTGAAAGCGTGTGTGTGTGTGTGTGTGAGAGAGAGAGAGAGAGAGAGACCTGATATAGTTGCTTGAAGCCATTGAGACTGGTGGAAATGATCAGAACTCGGTTTATTCTCCATTGAAGTTGTGCTATCTCCGAAGGACATTGTAACGAGACAATCAGATAGGGCAGAACAAGTGTAGAGAAGCAAGTTATATAATTTGAAAAGCGAAGGTTTGCGGTCGTATACTTAGCTTGGCGGATAACCAACGTTAAGCAGATTCTTTGTCAAATTCGATCGCACTCTAAAGTAGGGGGGTCTTTGTTGATCTCTATGCCTGTTGGCTTCTAATTTACCATATGTGAATGCCAGTTATCCGCTGATTTGTCTTCCGTTAGCCCGTAAATTCTGTTTGTATTTTTTAATACGCAAAACATCCGGTCATGGTTCGCCCATTTGTATCTGATACTATTAATTACGCGGTCCATTTATTTTCGATTTTCACGCAGCCCGTCTTGTGCACATTTCACACTGGCGCAACTGATTCTCAACTCAAGGATTATATTTTACAATAGGATAAGATTTATATATTTAACTTTATATACTTAATATATTTATATTCAATCAAATCATGGCAAGTAAATCTTAATATATTAATAAATTAATAATAATAATAATTTATTATAGAATAAATATTTTATAAAAAAATCAAATATGTCTTAATATAATTGAATATAAGCATATTAAGTATATAAGATTAAATATATATAAGTTTTTTCCTTTGCAATGTACCCTGTTACCCTAGAAGTATTCTGACCCGTGTTCCATTTACTTAAATAAGAAGATTAGTTTCACCAAAACAAAAAAAGAGGAAGATTTGTTAATAAATTTAAATATGACGATATTAAATGATTTTTTGGCGAATCGCATGGGGAAGGAACTGGTTCATTTTCATGTGCTACATAGAGATTTCCCCCAATGTCTCGGTTTTTTTGGGCATGTGCTTTTTGTCTTTTTTGCCAACGGAAGAATTATATTAAAATTAACTAAAAAGTTTGAAATGCAAACAGAATCAAAACAGTACATGAACTAAAAAAAAAACAATTAGTCGTGATCAAAATTTTCAGCACGAATTGACTCTGACTGTAAAGGAATTAGAGATCTCAGAACTCGATCAATTGGATACAATCCTTTCAATGAAGCATGAGCAGTCTAGTTAACAATCCAATTAGCTCTCCTGGGAATTCAAATGAATTGGCAATTCTGTCTAATAAAACGATGCTTTCACCCGCTACGAAGTTACTACACCTTTTTTATTTTTAAGAAACATGTAATTCATATTACAAGAATTACAAGAATTTTGAAGCATGTATTCGCTGCACGTAATGAAGTATGAATGAATATTCCTGTAGGTGTTGTTATGAATTAACGGTACTATTGGAATCATTAGTAGCATTGATATTATAAATTTGAGCTTTTCTATTAGGGTAAACGAAAGCAAGTATGTTGGCAATAGCTTGTGAAATAATAGCTTGAATCGTGTCCAAAAATACTATTCTTAAGAACTATTTCGCCATGTAACACCCTCAATAATACAAACCGATTTTTCATAAATTATTAAAACCATTATTATGGTAGAAAATTTTCTTACCATGATACATCCAAGACAATATACCATAGGTCTTAAAATATCTCAAAAAAGCAATTAGAACCATGAGGGACAGTCAGGATCCTCATGGCATGATATTTAAATTAGGTCATGAATCAAGAGAGACAAACATAATCCTCTTAGTCAAATAAATACTTTTAATAAAAAGAATTAGAGTTTACATGCTTCACAAAGGAAATATGTCCTAAGTTGACACAAGATACATTGTATAATCCAAAATAAGAGGCAACGTAAAAGATGGTGTTTCATACACCATAGTTACACCTCTGGTGTTTTTTCGGCCGGACTCGCTCCTGTAAAAATATTAACCACGGGGAATGAGACTTAAAAGTCCCAGTAACCAAAAATTAATATGTAATGATACATGCGATTGTAACTAATCATGCGATTGCTAAGTGGGCACACAAAACATTTAACCGAACAATATTTTCAAACAAACCGAACAAGTATTTAATTTGCATGACTGCACCTTATATCTTCCTTTCGCCATGCTCGGACGCCAAATCACCCGGCCAAAGGTGAGTTGGACCAAGCGACACGCCACTCATTGGGTCCAATGAGGGCTTACCACGTGGTAATAATTAACCGAACAGAAATTTCCATTAACACCATACATTAAAATACCCTGACAAGTCATGCATCATTCAAATATCCAAACAGAAATATATTTGAACAATAATATTTCATCATGATAAACAAAAATAAATTTTTAACCCACTTGGCAATAATTTCAAACAAGTATATACGGTATTTATTTTCAATAATTCATAATTTTTCCAAACAACAAAATAACACATAACCATTCACAAACACACCTATCACAACACATTAATAATGGTTACCTTGTGTCTTGAATAACAAGTTCCCCTTCACAACTCCTTTTTCACCACTATCTTTGTCAATATAATCTACATAATTATTTCACAATACTATATATTAATTTTACATTAAAATAAATAACTCTAATTTAAAGAGTTAGAAAGTCTTAGATCTATAGTCCATATTAACACTAATTTAAGATTTATGCCTCATTTAACTTCTCAAATTCTTTTTTTAAAATTCTCGTACCCTAATGAACTATTTTTTTATCCTTAATTCACTTCTAGTATCACAATTTCATCCTTCTATATTCTAAAAATTCATCCAAAAATAAATTAAAAATTTTAGAATTATCCTGAAGCCTCAAATCACCTTTCTATAACCTCAAAAATACCTATTCATACTTAAATAAATATTTAATAATCATAGGTTTATCCCTACGTCTCAGATTCCACATAAATTCAACCATATAGATCTAGATTTTAACTCAAAAATTTTTAAACATGAGTTTCAACCTTAAAAAAATATTCTATAATATTTTTTATATTCCTAAGAATTTTAACCTATATTTTTAATCTATCATATCATCAGATTAATTATACTATAGAAAAATCCTAATCAAAATATTTACTCTATCATACAAAATAATCATATCACTAGAAAGCTAATATTATTTAGAAAATAACTATAAAATTAATTTTATAATTAAATAAATTTTTAAATGCTAATCTAAACAGGAAAGTTAGAACATACTTGAAGAAAAAAAAAATAATCCCCCTTGTGAGAAAACGCCGAGCAACGTGAGAGGAAGAGAGAAAAATAATATAAAAATGGGATTGTGAGTCCCAAAATTATATTAAAAAAAACTATAGGTTTGAATTTAATTATTCAAACCTTTGGGCCAAAAGTTGCAATTTTCTCTAAATTGCATCTTAGCCTCTCATGCTTCCTAATGCACACACCCCCTCCTTTTATACATGAAGGCACCTCTTCTCTTCCCTCATCTAACTAATGTGGGACTTAGAAATAATAACCTTCTACCCCCCCTTTTTTTTGTTCCTTTTACCTTCTTTTTTTTTAACACATACATAAAAAAAAATTATTTATGTATTATATCTTAACTAAATATTGCTTATGTGATTTTAAATTTAAATTTTTAAATTTATAATTAAATACCTAACCATAATATTATTTCTAAGTAACCTTAAATAATATAAATTCCTATTATTATCATTTTTTTTTCTCAAAACCTAAATTCCACAATTTCTTTATTATATAAAAAAATCAGGATATTACAGTAAGCATTGTCTTTTATAAGCAGATTTCATAATGCTGGGCAATAAAACCACCGTAATCACAATTAAAAAATAGTTTCAAATAATAATGTTGTTTAAATTATATGTTATAAAATAATAAATAGACTTAAATAATAATTTGTATTATTAATTTATAATAATTTCTTTTGAAATACTAAAAAATATTTATAATATCCAACAACCCTTACATATTTCAAAAAGAAAAAATTTTTTTTAAAAAACTATTTTATACAAATAATTTATAACTCCATGTAATAGTTTTTAAAGCTTTAGAAAAAATGCCCAGTCTATTTGATACCATATTTAACTCAAGCGTGAGTAATTGCATTTAAATGAGCCAATTTTTTCTATAAATTTATTTATTTATCCAAGCTCATACCTTAGTATACATTATTAAGTTCTCCATTCATTTGATCAATACGAATACGAAACTTTGTTTTTTGTTGACACAATTTCAACAAAGTAATCAAAAGAAAGGTGATGAATGGAACGTGGATGTTAATCTCCGACAAAGTTCCAGTCTTTTTTGAAACCGTGCAATCATGTAGCTGTGTAGAGAAGGAGAAGTGCAAGGTTAAACAGATCTTACAAAATTACTTGGCATGGTGTTCAAGCGGTGCGATAAGATTGCTTTACACAAAATTTATGTAATGGAAATGTGCGTGGTATTTTTCAAAAATATATCCTAACACAATATGGTAAATAATAAGGATAATTTCAAATAAAAATCGTGGATGTGACATAATTATTAATTAATTTAAAAAAAAATTAAAATTTTAGTTCAATTCAAAGGATGAAAGCGAAAATAATTTGAATTATAAAAAAATTAAAATACTTTTCAGTTGTTATATAAAATTACTAGTTATTAATTTTTTTACTTCACTTATTAATTTACTAATATAAATTAAATATTTTATGAGTTGGTATATTAATAATTATATAAGATTTAATATCAGTTATTTAATCATAAGCAGCAATATTAATTATTAAATTGTTAACTTTATTTGTTAGTTTACTACTTGTAATTTACAATTAATATTAGTAAATTAATAATTAAAATTAATAATTAATATCACTGCTTATCTGATAAATAAATCTAAGTTACAAGTAATATTGATTAATTAATAAGTAAAGTAAGAAAATTAATAATTAATAATCCTTCATAATAAGTGAATAATATTTTAATTTTTTTACAATTATATCCTGAACTAAAATAAAATTTCAGAAATTTTTTTTAAATCTACTAATAATTACAATGTCACATCTCTAATTTTTATTTAAAATTCTTCTTAAATAATAATTAAAACTCGGTCAAGTGGCGTAGTATGGGAGGGAGGAGCAGGTTGGAGAGGCGACGGGCTGAACCTGAATTGATCTTCCCAAGACGTGGAGGGGGAATAGGCCCCAGCCGCAGCTTGCTGGGTCTTCAGTATCAAACCCTCTTTTATAATCCCTATCATTGCCACCTAGTCGCCTTTTAATTACAGCTTCACCCCTCCTTCCCTTTGATTTTGCACTTGCATCGTATGATTCTTCCCGCAGAACTCGGCGTTGCAATGCAAACAAAATTAAAGCGACAAATTTTTTGTAAAAATAAATATTTAATTTCTATAAATATTTACTTTGCTTTTAAATCTAATGTTTCCTTTTGGTAATTTATAACTCATTTGTAACTAATTAACAGCACTAATAAATTTGTTTATAGCATATTATTGCATCAAAAAATATGACATCTTTTTAAAGCCATTCTAAATTGTAAGTGATTAATTCTAACACAATCTCACTCATCTCTAAAAAAAAATATAACATCTTTTTAAAGCCATTCTAATTAGTCATCATACTCGTTTGCTCCTATTTATAAATTACTTTTAATATATGTTACCAACACGAAAAAAATAAATTCTCAATTTTATCTTTATTAAATATACATATTTTAATAATATATTTTTTTCTCTAACATTTAATAAAAGATAAAATAAAAAATTTGTAATAAAATTTTAATAATATAATTTATAAATAAAATTTAAATTTTTTTTACTCTACTTCATAAATAAAATTAAAAGGAGTACTCTTATTCAAATGTAGAAGTCTCAACTATTTTCGGACATTTTCAAAGAAATTCAAGGGGATGACTCCATGACAGCCGCTTTTTGCCTTGCATTTATTTAACCCCAAGCAGAACAGTGTCAAGACGGTAATTATAAGCACAAAAGGAGGCCATTTGATGTGGAACAAACTCTACAAATAAACACGCGAGGGTTGGCCATTGGTGGGTCGGCCGGAAGAGTAAGCAAGCACCAGAAAGCGTCTGGCAGCCAGAGGTTGGGAGCGTGTCTCTCTGTGGCATTCATTCGAAGTCTCCGGCGCACCGTCCCTTCCTCATTCGTCGGTCCTCCTCCATGGCTCTCCCAGAGACCTCACGCCGTAACTCTCTGATCCCTACCTTCCTCTACTCTCCCTCCTCCCCCAAAACCTTGCATCTCCAGAACATGCTCAACTCTACCTCCGCCGCCGGCTCTTCTTCGGCTTCCAATATCGAAGTCGGATCGCCCAGGCCCAACTTCATGATTCCCGCTCCAAGTGAGCCTGGTAAGATCCAGATGTACTCGCCTGCCTTCTATACTGCTTGTACTTTCGGTGGAATCCTCAGCTGTGGTCTCACTCACATGGCGGTTACACCTCTTGACCTTGTCAAGTGTAATATGCAGGTCCTTTTCTCTCTTGATCTGGCATTTTTTATGAAATTAACACTTAACAGTGCTTTTGCTTGGTTATTCTTTGCTCTATAAGCACTATGTTTCCCGATGAATTGGATCTGCGCTTTGTACTTAACTTACATCTGATTGTTATTCTTTTTTGAGCATTTGAGAACTTTTGTGCTCATTGGACCGATCTGCGAATTGTGATCGTTGCGTTGGATTGAATGATCCCTTTCTTTATGTCAGATTTGTTTATTGATTTACTTCTATTTCCTCCCAAAATTTGGGGACCCGCTGATCTTGGCCGTTGGTCGTATTTTCACTTGTGTTCTCCACCAATGAGATGCTGAAAGAGGAGACTTGAGGGATATTTTGATTATGAGATTGTCCATATGATTTGATTGTGGTTTGACTTTAAAATCGCAAGCTGTTATGTTAATTTGCCTTTGGTTCTTACTTGAATGGAATACTACTTGTTATCTCTGCCATCATTTAACTTTCTACCCGGGTATTTTTAGGCATTAGGTCCAACGTAGTTGTTGCCTTAGTTTTTCTCTGACCTCAATTATTAATTTCAGATTGACCCTGCAAAGTACAAAAGTATCTCGTCTGGATTTGGAGTATTGCTTAAAGAGCAGGGATTTAGGGGTTTCTTCAGAGGCTGGGTGCCTACCTTGCTTGGTTACAGTGCTCAGGGTGCTTGCAAGTTTGGTTTTTATGAGTTCTTTAAGAAGTATTATTCTGATATTGCCGGTCCAGAGTATGCAGCCAAATACAAGACCTTGATCTACCTTGCTGGTTCAGCGTCTGCTGAGGTTATTGCTGATGTTGCGCTTTGCCCCTTGGAGGCTGTAAAGGTTCGAGTTCAAACTCAGCCTGGTTTTGCTAGAGGTTTGGCTGATGGGCTCCCAAAATTCGTTAAATCTGAAGGAACCTTGGGGTATGCTTTTGAACTCTTGGAGCTCTTAACTGGTTCTGTTAGTTGTAAAGGTTTCTGCATGCTATGACGCATCTCTAATGTTGTTGTTGTTGTTTTTTTTTTTTTTTACCAGGCTGTACAAGGGACTTGTTCCTCTCTGGGGACGCCAAATCCCGTGTAAGTACTTTGTAGCATGAATTTTGTGGACAATGACTTGAAGCTTGCGCTTTCATGCTGTTTATATTTTGGTCAGCGTACTTCATCTTGGTTTTAAATTTTAAGGCAATGATTTTTTACTTTAGAGTCTTCATCATCCCGTAAGCACCCATGCGCCACATATATTCTCATTTCCTGCTCATTGTACCACATTGTTGTTTCAAGCTTTGCTGCCTCATTCTTTTTCATGACTGAAAGGTCCTCAGTACATATGTTTTTCATGGAGATTGGATAGTTTTTGTTACATGGAAATAATAGTAGTTAAGGGAGTTAAATCGTTAGAAGCTATATAAACTCCTATTAGTATTTAGTCAATGAAATTTTCAATTTCTGCATTCGTAATGATCCACGATGATAAAGATCAATATAAGGGGGGAGTATTCTCACGTGTGAATAGTAGTCGTGGAGAGAAGGTTGGTTATATAGCACTTTACCAGTAAATATAAATAGAGATAGGTGTCTAGTGAATAAATAAACCTTTTTACGTTTAGCATGTGTATCGAATTTGCTTTCTTGTTTGTTATTTAAACAATTCAAATCTTTTGTTTCTAGCTGTTTTTAGTTGGTCAAATTTAAGGTAACAAGTTTTTGGATAAGTCTACAGTTTAGTTTATTTTCTTTTTCTTTGTATTTTTTGGTTGCTAGTAAAAATATTCATCGTTAGTGGTGTATTCATTTATAATTTTATTAGCTCAATGATGTGCCTTCATTTTGCATAGAGTCTGAGGAATAATCCGTGTTGATCATGGCTCATTAATGAGGCAACTTTCTACAAATTTGATGTTTTATATCGATTGTCAATTTTTTTTTTTTTGTAAATCGGAGGGCCATATACCATTGTAATTTATCATTTTTATTTGTGACTTTAATTGGCTTGTATGGCCAAGGTAGACTTTGTGTATGGGTGATATATACCATTGTGATATATTATTTGTGTGTGGTTGGAGTAAATACCTTTGGTTCTCAAAACACTGGAGTAATTGTATTTGAGCTGGTAAAGAGCTGTAGTTTTTGTTCCTTTTTATTTTGACCTTAGACCACATATATATGCCCAATATAATGTTGGGCTAATTGAGCAAGTTCTTCTTTTTGAGTTCAATCCGACCACCTATTTTACCTTTTTTTTTTTTTTTGTACCCAGTTCATGGGCTTTCTTTCTTTCTTTCTTGGGGAAAGGAAAGGCTGAAAGACTGAGAGTTTACAAATAGGAACTACTGGGATGTTTGTCAGCCCAATAAAAGGGCCGAGCACCCAATAGAGGATTCATGCAAAGTGTTAAAGTCATCAGAAATATTAAAGTTCACGAGATTAATTGATTTCTTATATGAAATATGACATTTTTTAGTTAAAATTTAATCGTGTATATGTATTAATCAAGCCAACTCTGAAGTTACGTAGAAAGGAACACATTTTTGGCTCAATTTCAGTTCCTATTTTAAATGTACCAGATATCCCATGTTTGTTCGATTAGTTACTTATGAATGTTTTGGAATTTTGATCATGTATCTGGTTCTTAATCGGAGCCATGAGTTACTCATGAGATGGCTGTGACTGTGAGAAGCTTATTCACGTAGTTAAGGTTGTATGAGCAAAGGGTGAAAATCTGGCATTTTTAACATTTTGTTATTGTCCAATTTTCTATTTATTATAGTATTCAATCTTTTTTTTGTTGAGATATTATAGTACTTAATACCTATGTTGTACTGCTTTTTGCTTTAATTAATGTTTGAAATCGAACCCTGTTTCATCTTATTGTTCTAGTTACTACTAGCTTGAAATTGTAACATAATTGTTAATGGAAGCCTATGAATCTGACTCTGATGTATGGATTCTTAAGTTGAATGTTAATAACGGTCTTTCCTGCAGATACAATGATGAAGTTTGCTTCTTTTGAGACTATTGTCGAGTTGATCTATAAGCATGCCATCCCCACGCCAAAGAATGAGTGCAGTAAACCTCTGCAACTTGGTGTTAGTTTTGCTGGGGGATACATTGCTGGTGTATTTTGTGCTATTGTATCTCATCCTGCTGACAACCTCGTCTCCTTCCTGAACAATGCCAAGGGAGCTACAGTTGGTGACGTGAGTACTGGACTAATTATATTTTTTTTCTGATAACAGGACTAATTAGATCTTGTTGTGTTTCCACTGCTTTGACGAGTTTCTTAAACGTGTTCTACTGTCTAACGCAGGCTGTGAAGAAGCTTGGTTTGTGGGGTCTTTTCACCCGTGGACTCCCTCTCCGTATTGTTATGATCGGAACTCTCACTGGAGCTCAATGGGGAATATATGATGCTTTCAAAGTTTTCGTGGGGCTGTAAGTTCTCGAAAATTCTGACTGTTTTATTTATTTCAAGTTCTTTATCAAGAAGTACTGACGGAGTTCCTTGGTTCTTCAGGCCAACCACTGGTGGTGTTGCTCCTGCTGCCGCTCCTGCATCTCAGCTAGCCAAGGCTTAGAATCTCCAATGAAGCGAGATACGAGTTCATTTCTACCCGCTAGATCACTTAGAAAACCAACGCAAAGACCATAAATAAAGTAAGTGCTGAAGTTGCCTGAGTTAGCTCACGCTCGGTTGGTAATATTTTTTTCAATTTCAGACTTCTGTTACCAATTTTCATGTCTCGAGTAATTAATTCTTTTGGGATGGTTTTGCTCTCATCCTTAGTGCTGAACATTTTAGTTAGGGATGATATAGTTTTGCGTGTTAGAATCATTCATCCCATGGAAAATGTGATACACATTTTCTTTCTAATCTCTGCAAAAATATGGACACGTGCAATGCATAAATTGTGACTTTTTCCCCCTTAAACTATTTTATTGGATGTTCATGATTGAATTGTTCGGGGTATACACGTACGTTAAGATTCGTTTACTGAATTGAAAGTTCCATTCACACTTGGACGCAGGACGCAGATATGTTCCCAATTAAGCGGTTAATGAATGTCTTGAACTTTCAGTCCTGCCAAGAATCATTTCGGACTCGATTTCTATTTACACATATTGACGCCTCTTGCCATCGTCGCCAATAGATGTCATGGATGTCCTATTCTCAGTTATACGCGTATATTGATAGGACGAGGGCTCCGCATGGGTGAATTTGGGCGGGGCAGGGTTACTCGGGTTTGGCTCAGCCTGACCCAAGCAAGGTTGAATTTCCTAAAAGCTCAGCCTGAATTCATCCAGTTTTCGGATCGGCAAGCCGCCTATTTTTTCCCACGATTTCATCACTATTTTCACCTAGTAGTATCAAAATAATGATTTTAAGTTCATCAACAAACAATTCAAGTCCAAGTCAAAAAGAACAATTCATTTGATGTTCAAATTCTAAAGTAACAATTCGAGTTCAATATGCTAATTTAATATCTAAATTAAACAATCCCACAACATTTCAGCCTTTGATTCATTTTTGTACTTATAGACAACGCGCAAGAGAGAAGGAGAAAGGAGAAAACCTCTTCAGCTCGTGGGTCCTAGCCATGGGAGTTGAGCGGATTGTAGAGAAGAAACAATGGTTGCCAAGCTGCCAAGCAAATATAGAGAAGATGGAGATGGTCGTTGAGCTGCCAAGCAGATGCAAAGATGACCGCCGAGCAAAGAAGGTGAGAGGATTCGATGGCCATGGGTTCTGTGCCAGGCGAGATAGTGATTTCAACTTTCTACGGCCGTGTGTTCCGACGTTATGTGCGAGACGCATGGTGAGAGAAAGATTTGAGACTAGGAGTACGCTCATCTTGACTCAAGTTCAACAAAAGTAGAGATGAAAAATCAGAGCAGGCTCGGCTCTTAAGAGCGGAGGTTTTAAAACTTAATTCCTTAATTTTTAACTTAATCTTAAAGCTCGGTCCTTATTTAAAGGGCTTAGAATCAAGCTCACAAGCTTGCTTTCAAAAAAAAAAAATATAATTTAAGTAAAATATTCTAAAATTTAAAATAAAACAAATCAAGGTTTTACATCAAATAAAGATTTTAAAATCAAAATTTAAGATAAAAATTAAAATCTTCATTAATCTACATTTAAATCATTCTCATCCTCATCTAAAAATAGAATATTAGATCCTTCATACATAGGTTTGTTTGTTAAAAATGGAAGGTAGAGGTTCAATGTCAATTATTTCTGTAATTTTTTTATCACCTATAATAAATATTAATTAAATCGTGTCATTATCAAATATATAAATATATATATATATATCATATGACAATATAAAAATTACTTTAAAATGGCATAAAACCATTTAACCAAGGGTACAAATTAATGCTTGTACATTATTTAGAAGAAGGTAAACATGATACTTTGTTAGAACACGAAAGCTTATACTAAAACTCGATTCACTAGCTATTGTAATGATCGAAATACTTAAAATAACACTTGCCATACTTGAAAGATTAGGAATTTTGGTTTATTAGTTTTTTACCAATACAACACATCTAATTCTAGAAACTAGTGTCCATCACGGGAAGCTTCCAAATAATAATCTAATTTAAATTTTTCAATGGAAGAAACATACCTACTCTTGAAATTAAAAAATCTTACATTTAAAAAAAATCCCTAATATAATCATATGGTAAGTTTTTAGTTTCTTTCTAATTTTAAAAAATTATAACAGGATTTGGAGAGTTGTCTGGGCCTAAGTTTTTTTTTAGGATTTGTCAAGACCGAGCCTAGAAGCTCGATTACGTTAAAAATCACCCATTTTTTAAGTTTGAAACCTCATTTAAATAGGGTCTCAAGCTCGGCCCTTATTCCCAATTCTACAACCAAGACAATGATGACTAATGAGATAATAATGAGATCAATGAAGAAGGACAAAGGAAAGAGAAAGAGGGACTCGTGTTTGCATTTGCTCGAGTGAAAACTAAAGAGAAGCCACAACACAAGAGATGCGTTTAATGTGGCTGGCTTGTCGAGTGAAGGAGGCCTAAGACTGAACCCAAAAAAAAAAGAAAAGGGTAATCAGTCTAGCCCAAATTTTATCAAACTTATTCAGGTAACTTGAATAAGCTTAATTTTTTGGCTTCACCCCAACCTTTTTAGAGTTTATTTGAATTTTTCCTGAATTACTGGTTCTAATGAAAATAAAAGACTAATCATGTTTTTATTAAAAAACACGTCAATTTTTTGCAGTTACGTAAATTCTTTTTGCAACAGAATTATTATGGCATCCTCATACCCAAGTTTTGGGCCCATACGATATTTAGAGAAAATCAGGCACTTACCATATGAAAGAATTGCTAGTAATACACGTCTTAAAGATTCTTCTAGCAAACAGTGTTGTCTTCCTAGATTAATTGTACTGATGACCCTGATGCAAGAAGAAAACGTGATAGATTCCATGCTCAAGCAAAAGGAAGCAATGAAAAACTACGTTGAATAATATGGGTAAAACACAGACGGGGCGGAGGAGTCCAAAGTCCAAGCCCCAGAACCAGAGGCATGACCTTCCACAACCTCTACGTCGCAAGTTGGAATATCAACCTGGCAAAGCCTTGCAGATTCGGTAGATCTCCAACGGATCAAGCCTACTTACATGGATAGAACTTCTTACTGATTGGATGCTGCTGTCCATCGAGATTAATACTTATAATTTATATAAGCTCACGGCAACATGTGTGTGTGTTCGGGTTTTCTGTGGTAACATAATAGCAGTTACTCGATTCGTACTAGTACAAATATTTCTGGAACATCTTTTCCGGGAAAAACACCTTGTTACGGCCAACTCAGAGAAAGAAATTCATCGTGGTGGTTCTTTTTGGATGTTACGGGGGTAAATCGAGCTTGAGTTTGCTATGTTGCATAAAGTTAACAAAACATACAATAATTTAAAGGGGCATACCAAACGTCTAAAACTACCCAAATTTCATATCGCAGACGAGAAAGGCTGGTGAAATAACTTAAAAATACAAATTGCAAATGATCACCCTGGTCCCCAAACTCTGCACTAAAATTCACCAGTCCCTTCTTTCAAGTCTTAGTGCTCCAAACAATTAATGGAATTTGAACCAAATGTACTATATCTTCGATCCCCATCCGGCATTATTGTTGTTCAAAGAAAAATACTTTATGGACTATGAAACATGAGATAGGCCCTTATTTTTTGAGCGCTCATACGAGATTGATAGTGAAGGATACGTACGGATGGCCATCAGAATCCCCTGCAAGACCGGTCATACCACCCCCTGCTTCATCCTCGATCTTCCAGTATGCACTGCAGATAATATCAAAGGGGCAAACTGAGCAGTTATTACACACATAAAGATAACAGATATGATGCAATAAACACCTAGTCTAGTCATTTTGCATCACATCATGATAAAGAAGAAAGCTGCAAAAATAGTTGAGTTGAGTTTCGGAGCGGAAATAAGAAAACAGCATTTAGTGTTCTTTCATCCAGCTTTGTAGTGTGTGTTAATATCAGGGATGAGTTGTAGTCTTTTTCAACCCTTGCATGTTTCTTCCACAATCAAGACGCACGCATAAGGAAAGGAAAAAGGTGGGGAACCACCCGGGGGTGGGGGAGTGTGTGTTGAAAAGGACGGGCAATTAGTTTGCACAGAAGAACTTCACAAAAAGTGGTACGTGGATTTGTATAAAATGCCAATGTCCATCAACTTCACCCATACACTTACAGCATACACAGAAATTAGATACTTGCCTGTTTGCACTGTCACACAAGCCTTCAAGTATAGAACGTACTTTCTTCTCACTTTTTGCAGACGGGGTTAAGACGGCTGCCTGCAATCGAGCAAGACCAATGGTAAACAAAGATTTTAAGAAACAAAAGTGATAGGCGGCAAATTTGTCAGGTCTAGAACAGTATCTGTACCAGGAAAGAAGGTGGCAGACCATATCTCAAAATGCTCTCGGTAAATACACGTATAGCGCAAAAGTGCATCCAAGAGCTGAAAACCTTCAGGCAGGAAAGCAAATATAACAAGTGAATACTTTCAGCATCTATAGTAATTGTGAAGGTAATAATAATTGCAAGACTCGTCAATTATTAATACATCTTATGACCTATGATTTTATGATGGCAGATAGCAAAATATTCAAGGCAAATAAGCTACAGAAAATTTGAACAAAAAAATTGAGTACTACTTCATAACGCTAGACTCTGGCTTGTCCAGCAACAGACACATCAAGGCATATTCCATTATGTAGATGGTTTCGCAATTGACTGCACTATTTTTTTCTACGATATCATTGGTTTCTCAAAAGTTGGAGTAGCAGAGATGAGAATGTTATGATGGATGTGCGGACATACACGTAAAGATAAAATTTGGAATGAGCACGCACGCGAAAAAGTAAGGATGACACCTATTGAGGAAAAAATGGTAGAAAATCGATTGAGATGGTTTGGGCATGTACAAAGAAGACCAAGGGAGGCACCAGTGAGAAGAGTAGAACATATAACTTTGAGTCCGATTAAGAGAGGTAGAGAAAGGCCTAAGAGAATACTTTTAGAAGTTATTGAACGCGATCTGTTAATTAATAATATTCCTAAAAGCTTGATAAATGATAGAGCACAATGGCGTCTTGCAATCCATGTAGCCGACCCCACCTAATGGGATAAAGGCTTGTTGTTGTTGTATCATTGGTTTCTCAAAACTCCTTGTAAGTTTTGCATTAAATGACTGAGGCGTATTTGCAAATTTAATGAAATAATGAACAAATGGATAATACCTCTCCATAACTTGTATAACACCATTGCAAAAGAATTCCTCTCGTGCTTTCTTGATCTTGCACCAACTTCTCTAGCTCCTGCTTCCGGCTATCATGTGTTTCTTGGCTGTACTCAAAATCGCGAATCTAAATGCAATGACAAATAGTAAGTCACTTAACACCTCCAATTGGCTCAAGATTCAATAAAGTACAACTTTGCATTAGGTGTCCAATGCATGCCTTGGTTAATAGTTATTAGTTCCTCAACAAAAAGCTAAACAGAACTCTAAATCTTCCCAAGATTAATCTAGATTAACAGATGGGCACAAATAAGAAATTTATGGGCAGTACTTACTTGGAACCCCTTTTCACGTGCACTAGTCCTAAAATTGTCTGCAACACGTGTGAAGAGTGTTACAGTATAAAGAGCATACTCATTATCCTCATACAACAACTTGGAAGACCTGGGTACCTACAAAGTAAAATGTAATCAGAATAAGCACATCATGGCCCCAAAAAAAAAAAATTAATAATAATATAGCAGCTCAGAAAGCATAAAACAAGTACAGAAACAATCAATTTGCAAATTATTGGACATTTTAGATAAACCATAGAGACCGCTAATTATCAAAGAGGACAGAATTCAAATCACTAAATACAAAAATTTCAAGAAAGTAGCAGAAGAAATTTGATATTGTCAGTAAATATGGTAACTTTACCACATAGCTTGTCAATGTTTCATAGCTTGAGAGCCAGTCCTTTTGAGAATACTTAGGAACAATTGCAAGTAGGGTAGTTAAATGCTCTGATGTTATAATATCCTCGGGTTTTACCAGGTTGGAAAGATCACGAACAGCTAAGCTGAAATAGACAGAAGTTTATCAGCTAGATAAAAAATAAAACCAAATGGAAGCTACAATCAGCATTGAACTACATCTTCACCTTCCACTTTGCTTTCGGTTGATAGCATTTAGTTGACTGCGGATATTGTTATACTCAGCAACACGAACCTGACATATGACAGTTGTGAGGCCCAAACAATCAATTCAATATATATTGTAATTTATATGCATAAGAAAAAATACAAACTTTTTAAGCTTTCTCTAAAAATCATGCAGTTATTTTCAAATATGTGGATGATTAAAAATATTGAAATGATTGAATTTAGTGTGATTATGATTTGTTCCAGTTCAATTGCTCGTCTTACAGATGAACAAGTTAATTGGCGACTTAATAGCCTTTATTATATAGTTTACCATCTGAAACAGGTTTTAAATCACTACCATTTTTAGTTGCATGAGGGCCTTCAGACCACTTCTTCCTAATTGAGCATATGCGGGGAAAAGAACAAATGCCCAAGACAGATAGACCAGAGAAATTGATGTCAAAGCAGATAAGAATGCATAAGCAGATAGTTTATTCTTCCTCTAAAATGTTGGTGACTGCATTCCAAACAAGCCCTTTCCCCAAAAAAAAAAAAAGATTGCCACATTCCGAAGTACCAACTCTGCCTTGCTAGCTTAAATCAACCCAGGAAAAGCGCATTTAGCATCCCTCAGCTAGCTGTTAGCCAGTAAGAAAATCAAGACGACTAAAAATCATCTTGAGTGAGTGATTTAGCACTAGAGAGACTAAGAACAGAACAAGCAAATTATAAGCTGCAATAGTGAATTGTCCTAAACTAGAAGATAGCCGCAACTAAAGAGTGGGAACAACATAAAAACCTTCAGATCATCCTCAATTTTTGCCACTTGACCGTGAATACCTTCCACAATCTCCTTCAAAGGCGACATAGTCGGGTACTTAGCTTCATCCCAAACAAACCTTCCACCAAAAGGACAGCTTCAGCACTCAACAAAAATATGACTGGAACAAGAACAGGTTCAATATTCAGTGATCAAGGTAATCAACCAATATACCTGGTCAAGTATGAATCGACTGGTACCCCATCAACCGTCAGCCCGCTGCTCACAACGCCAGAAACTTTCTCCAATTCCTCAATCTGTCGCCTGATCTTGTGTGACACTCCTTCCATGAAACTGTTTGCCTGCAAAAAAATTTAGCTTTGCATTTTAACTCCCGCATAACACAATATCGGCACCAGAACAATGAATCAAGGAAATCATACAATTCATATAGAAGCACCGAAACAGGTAAAGACAAAAATCTCGCATCTGAAATCACAAACCCGACCAACCATAGATCTACAAATTAGTATTAGAGATTGGTAAACAACGTTAAGCTCAAAATTGTAGGAAATTCACCTTCACAAGATCATCGCTAAGAGAAAGAAGAGAATCTAGGGTTCCAACCCGGAGATTAGGTATATTGAACTGCAAATGAAATGAAGCAGGGTTAAAGGAAATTAAGCACTGCGAGGGCAGATCTTGAGAAAGAGAAGGATAGAGTACTCTATAAAGAGGAGTATCGAAGGAATGCTTGGAGATTTGTTCCTGCAATCGAGTCCAGAGAGCTGATGCCGAATTTTGAACGGGAAGAGAGACTACCCAGTATCTGGTCGCCATTGTAGCTCTGGGTTGGACCTCTGATCACAGAGGAGAGGGGAGAGAGAATGAGGGATAGTGAACAGGCCGTTGGTCTACTAAGCCGAGGAATAAAAATTATGCTCGTTTTTTACCCCAGCCCCGTTCCCCCCAGTGTTCTAGTTACCAAACAAGCGGTTAGAAGTTCCTTTCCTCCATCTCGACTCGACCGATTGGTTTTACCCCAAAAAAAAAAAATTCATGAATTTAGCAGAGAAAGTCATTTATTTATTGCGATCCCACGCAGCTATCACGTTATAAGTCGAGTCCGGGTTCCTACAAGCTGGATCGATTTAAATAGCTGAATGTGCCTTAAAATAAATCTTTCTCCAATCATATGTGATAAATTCTCATTAATAATTAGAATAAAATTTCACAGTTGTACATTATACAAAATCTGGAAAATAAATCTTAGCATCACAATATGAATTCGACTGACAATAATTTTTGCATTTCATATCAATACCAATATTCATTGATAGATTAATATTGATATCTCTATTCTTTCACTGAAACTACATTTTTCCTTTTTGTATGCTATACCGTCTTTTTAAAAACAAAATAGAGCATCAGAGCATCAATTACTTCGCTCTACCATATGAGCAACCGAATTTAACATGCTGCTGCCGCTGCAGCAGACAGCACGACAGGCAGTAGGGCATCAATTTTTAGATTGCAGCCTGAGACGTCCTTCAAAAAATGGACTGAATAACATCCTAGTGAGGGCGTGACGGAAACAAGTAATTTTTTTTTTTAAAAATCCGGAAACAACAAAATCTCTTTATGTATTGTCAACCCACTCTTGGAGAATAAAACCATTATTTACTCTGACATGAATTAATTTTTCCCCTACACGGTTTTACCATCACCTTGTATCAAATAAAAATATCTATGTATTCTTGACTAAACGGATTATTTTTTCCCGCACTAATTTATAACTGAAAGTCACTGTTACATGCACTGTCAAGGGATTTCATATTAAAAAAAGGGCTCGCAAATGTGACTATGATTCACCCACCAATCAATAAAATTCCATTCTCCCATGTGATCCCTCATATACAAGCAAGTTCCAATTTCCAATGAATAAGCACAATACACAGGGACAATTACAGCTGCAACTACACAAATTATCTCATGACCAGACTGAGAGATGGATAGATTTCCCTGCAACAGGGCAAATTCCCTTGCGTCTGAGGATAAATCTCGTGTTCTGCTGCTCCATCCAAGTCCAACGCTTCGGCGATGGCAGTAAAATTAAATACAAGCGCAGGGCGTACCGGTAGATTTTAAAAAACTACCCATGACAAATTGAAACAAAATCGCTTTCCATGGCTCCTGACTTCAATTACTCCTATTTTAGCTCGTAAGCAATAGCTTCTTCACTTAATCAGTCTTCCTATCCTTGCCCTCTGTCCGCTGCTTAACTGGCTCAGCAGGAAAGTATTTTATACCCACTAAATCACCAACTCTGCTGATAACCTATCAAGAAAAGGAACAAAATCAAAAAGTTAGAACAATAAACATATAGCAGAAGAAACAAATTTTTGCAAGATGCAGGGGGCACCAACTAAAATGATAAAAAGCGTATTGGAAACGTCCATGGTAAAGACACTGCTCGTCATGCAACGAACCACAACAATTACCTCCACAAACAATTAAATGATGCATGCGGAATAAAAGTTACCACTGGGGTGAGAAACTAAGCATATACCTCCAAAGCTTTAATAAGGTCTTCCCTTGAATGAGAAGCAGATATGCATATGCGTGCTCTTGCTAACAGTAAGGGGGTTGCTGGAAATGCCACTGTCACAATGGCAACCTGAAACGGTAACATTCAGCAGTAGCAGGCTTTTAATAATGATAATGATAATAATCGAAACAAAAATGCATATTGCTGCCAATCAAATGGGTTAAATATGAACGAGGGGCGCAAATGGTTCAACATTCTCACATTCTGCTTAAGGCACTCCCTTGAGAAAGCAGGGATCTTGGCTGGGTTGTAGAGCATGATTGGCATTACTGGAGAATCATTATCCCCAAGGACCTCAAATCCCATCTTTTGCAGTTCTGACCTGAAGAAATTGCTGTTGTCACGAATTTGCGCAAGTTTCTTGGCACCTATGTTAAAACAAGAAGCTTCAGGAAAAAATTCAAAGCAGACAGGTGAAGAAATAACAGAAGTGCCCATCAAACCTCTGTTGGAGCCATCCTCTCCAAGAATGACTTTTATGGCAGATATTATTTGTTGCGCAGCTGGTGGTGAAATTGAAGTTGCATAAAGATGAGCAGGGCAAGTGTACTTCAAGTATTGGATAAGTTCCTGATCAGAGTTCCAAAATCTCATAATAAGAATTACGCTTCAATTGTAAGATTTAAAATATTTAAAAAAAAAATCAAAAGCTTCAGTATACTGTGATGAACATTGCCAAAAAGCAATCTGAAACATTAGCAGTGCAAAACAAATGGTCTTCTGCAAGTAAACTCCAAAATCACTCTAACCTCCACATGTAAAGACGATAATGTTCTATAAGCAACTTTGAAATCAATTCCAAACGACTTCAGTTGCATGAATCTAACACTCTAAAGTTCCCTCCCATTCCAAAACCCTTGACTTCTATATGTTAATTCATATTTCTCTTCAGATACAATCAAAGCATTCTGCAACTAAATGACAATGCTGGTTCACATGAAAAGAAAAAAGTTATAGTCCATGAGATAAAATTTTCAGAACAACTCTTCCTAGTTTTTTTTAGTGTGATATTTTAAGGGTACAAACCTTAGATCCTGCAATGTATCCCCCACATGATCCAAAGGATTTGGTGAATGTCCCCATCATAATGTCAACATCAGCAGTATCCACGCCTAAGAGCTCACAAACACCTCTACCTGTCTTGCCCACTGCTCCAATGCTGTGTGCCTCATCCAAATAAGTATATGCCTACAAAGCAACCAAAAGAAGAAGAATTTAAAAGGAAACTGGCAAAAGCAATTGTCAGTATATGCCTATCAAGCAATCTGGATTCTCATCCCTCATTCTGGATTCATTCATTTTAGATTATATTGGCTCAAACTTTTAAAGTTTGGATGCAATAAGCGTTTTACAACTCCAACAATTTGCATGGACACAAACCAATTATAATAGATTCTTTCCTAGCATTTACTGCAAGCCTCATACCCATACAGCATTATAACAAATTAAGCATTTTTAAAAGCGAAATAACCCAACATATACCACCTCCCTCATCTAAAGTGAAAAGGCATGTGGAAAACAAAAACAAAGGGATGACAAAATTGCACATTAGATCAGAGCTACTACATCAACCAACCTTATATTTTTTGCATATTGCTATGATCTCTGGAAGTTTACAAAGCTCCCCTTCCATGCTGTAAATCCCTTCCACAATGACAATTATCTTCTTCCAAGGCCTATGGGTCCTTGGCTGTCCCTCTGCAATTTGTTCTCTTAAAACCTCTTCAAGGTGAGATGGTACTACAGGAAAGAAAGTCAAAGAGAGCGTGAACGAAATAATACAAAAAATTCCAAGAACACCAAAACATTAACGCAGCTACACAGCTACAGGAGGGTGAATAGGTAAAAAATAAAACGCAGAAGCCAAATCCACAATAAGAATTTCCAAAGAAAGCCTTTTGTGTTCATAGATATAGGCAAACTGCAGTCTTTTCTTTCTGAGAAGTGGTGGGAAGGGGGGTCAACCCAAAGAATTTCAAGTCTCAAATTCTTTATACAGCATGAAACACATGTCACCATGTAGAATCCAAATAACCAAGATTTATTATAATCCATAGAAGATGATATAGAACAGGACAGCAGTCACAATTACAAATCCCAACTGAACCCATAATACTTTCCTATCAGAATGAGAGAGATGCTGCTAATAGCCAACAAACTTTGTATCCAGAAATTGAAAAACTGACCATTCATTCCCTAATCAAAATTGTTTACTTCGGTAAGAAGCAAAGCTACTTACTGTTGTGTTGAAAAACACGAATAGTAGCTCCAGATCCTCGTGCACCATTGACAATGGAGTTGTGGTTCAATGAATCGCTGATGATTAAGCTTCCCTATAAAATGTAGACATATAAATTAATAATTATGTGGATATCCTTGATGTGCCAACAAGGAGACCTCTCTAAACATCTTACAGACCTTCCCCACGAGGACCGGAAGAATAGCAGAGTTTGTCACATAGCCCATACCAAAAACCAGAGCTGCCGGCTTTCCAACAAAGTTTGCAACACACTCCTCGAGTTCATTATGTAATGCAGTTGTGCCTATTAGAGAAACCACAGTTGAGGAAACCTGATTGAATATTTGCATGGATAAGCAAAGAGAATTTTGTTTGTTGGCCATTTATGAACTAATATCCTTACCCCCATCCACCCGACTGCTGCAAGTACTTGGAGAATACTTCTTCAATGACTCAACTACCCGGGGTGTGCAGTATTCATCTGCTGCCGCAAAGCCAAGATAGTTGTATGATCCCAAGTTGAGGCATCTGCTAACTTTTTCTGTTCTTCTGTACTTGGACAAATGAAATGATTACAAATAAGTACCTTATGATAGCGTAGTTCTGAAGAAACAAATTTGAGGAACAAAAATTAAGATATCCAAAAAACAAGAATAGGCATAAAAATTATAATAAGAATTGTACTTCAGTGTCTTGTTATTATCATTTGAATAGCGTTCAACAACGTCAAACCAAGCATCAGGAGCACTTGCTATTGGTCTGCCAAAGCAGTCCTGTCAAAAGAGAACTTTTCATGAGACAGATAGTTAAATAAAGACTACCCACAAACTTGTAGTGTACATACGTTTACTAATTTTACTGCAACTGTTTTAGTACACAAAAATAATGACGAACTTCAATTCGTTTTTATTTTTTAAAAGAAAGAGTGTTCAAGCATCCAACTTCGAGGGCAGAGCGTTCCAAACGTTGGTTCACCTAATAACGAATTTGTTAGTAACATTACTCCATAATCAGCGCTCAAGCAACTTCAAGCTATAATGTATCTCGTAAAACACAAATCCAACCATTGAAAGAATCGAAGATGAGGCCAGAATAGCGTCTATCTATATTCAAGATAACATTAACACTGCGCAGCAAATTAGTATAGAGATGAAAGGGTTTGGTTGAAAATGAATCAATGAAAACTGGGAAAAGAGAAAATGGACCTGAATACGAAGATATAGTCGACGGATATAGAAATCCTCGAGTCCTAAGCAGATCGGAGCGTAACCCTGCTTTGCAGAAATAACGCATCGGTCAAAAAGCACACTTGATAAAATCATGGGAAAAATATGAAGAAGGCCACAGACCTGGAGGTTGTTAGAGCTGAACCAATCCATAAGTTTCCGACCGAAATCTCTCAATTGACCGAAGGCGAAGAGCAAGCCGTAACTAAAGTAAGTAGTTAATGCAGTCAAATACGGAATTGCAATCATCTTGAGCCTTAGAAAAAGAACGAGACGAAAGGTTGGGAGAACAAGAAATAGAAGCGGATCTGGTTTCTAAAAATTTGAAGAGTCTATGCTTCGATGGCAGGAGCCGGTTGCTGGCCGGCGACGATAAAGCAGAATCCGAAACTCAGAACCGTTAAAGGAGAAAAGGGGGAAGAGAGAGAGAGGTAACGACAGACAATGATGGGAATGACGAATTGGGAATGGTCCAGGAATGGGGCGGCTGGGACTCTTCCCAATCCCAACCAACTCCAAATGGATGAGAAGTTTAGAGATCACATTCGTAGATCCCATGATTGTGAAAATTAATTTTAAGAGAATTTAATAATAGGCTTGAGCATCTTCTTCTTCTTTTTTTTTTTTTTTTTACCCCAACCTAACCTTTTTTTTCATAGGAAGGGGAAGCATACACTTACACGTGCACATAAACATGTCAATGAGTTCGAATGTAGGACTTCTTTTAAGAGAGGAGGAATAATTAGTCTTTAGGCTTGACATAATTAATCTTTTTGCTTTGCATATATTTTAAATTTGAATTTTGATTTTGAATTTTGATTTTGATTTTTGATCGAAACAACTACAATGTGTGCCTTTTTTTTTTTTTAACCGGTGGAATAGAAGTTCGACTTTTGCTAAAAATTGTTCTTCACCGTGTCTAAGTATCTCATTAATATTAGTTATGGCTTCGCTTGGATGGATGAAAAAAGCCAAGAGAAAATTACATTTTGATCTCATGAAAACAGAATTTATTATCAAAAAATTTTATAACATTTATAAAATATTTTCGAGTTTCAAATATTGTATATTTATAATTTGATAAAAAAATATTTACAATTAAATAAGGTGCATTTACAACGTGAAAATGCTAAAAGATTAAGAAAACCAAGTGAAAAAAATCTAAATGAAATTGGAAAGATGCTAGTGCTGGAAAGGCAAAGATACAAAATAAATCAAATAGAAGGTAGAACAATACTGTGTGTCTATACAAACTTTAAAATGATACTTAAAAGGAGGTCTAGATAGTTATTATCTATTATCTCCTTTTAAAAATACTTAACACATTTTTAATCAAAATTGGCTTTTAATAAAATAATTATTTATTTTTAAACTAATATTATCTTTTCATATTTACTTTTATTTTAAAGTGTGTTCCAATTTTAAATAAATATAAAATAATTTATTTATTATAGATATTTTCAAAATAGCACAACAATTACATTTTAAAACACTAAAAATATTTTATATTTTTAAATATCTAACTTTTAAAAAATACCTTTCACTTTTTTAACAGGGAGAGTATTTCTTTATTTTTATTGTCCTATTTATTGTAAAGTGGAAAGGAGATTTTTTTAATCATGTTTATAAAAACATAATGTTATTTTTTTATTATAATTTTTTCATTTTATTTCATTAAATTTAGATGAAAAGACATATCTGTATGTATAAAATTAAAAACTTATTAAATTTTAAATGTAATTAATAATTTTTATTTTTTTTAATTTCCGTGGGTGAGATAGAATGGAAGTAATTAAGTTATAAATATGATGATCAAGTCAATCAAATAAAGTCTATATGTTTGGGTTATATTTCTTCAATTTTTTATTGTTTGCGTTATATACTTAAATTGGATCCAACTTTTATAATATACATAAATTGTTGCTATTACTATTCAATTTCTATCGTGTAACGTGAATAGAAAATTCAAAATTTTGTTTTGCGATAAGAAAATTTAAAATTATCCACGGCAATGGAATCTCAAAATTTTCGATAGAAAAATAAACTATCATCTTTTTTTTTTTACTGAAAAATAAACTATCATCTTACTCGTTAATTTCCTTAATTCATTTGTCAAGCCTGTGTGTCAATATATTTCATTTATCGTTTTAAATTGCCGATAATTTGTTGGGAAAATTGTCAAAAAAATTCTTTGAAATATAAAAAAAATTGTAAGTTCTCATAAAATATGATAATTTTTCTCAAATCCCTTAAGTTATTTCCAACATTAATGTTTTTCATAGCCTAACTATAATACCCTCAATTTAAAATAAAAAAGAGAAAAGGGAAATAGGCAGAACGGAACTTGTTACTTGTGATCTTGTTTTAGTCATTGTTGTAAGAAAAATAATTATTACTTAAACTAAAATAGGCACTAGTATTTACAACATTTGGATTTCAACAATTAAAATATTGCAAAAGGGAGTTGCTATTGCTTATTTTGTTTTAGTTACTACAAAAAACTTGTCCTTTCTTATTCATACTGTCACTTTATTTGTTGATTCAATATTATGTTAAAATCTCTATTAGAATACATGTTCACATTTATACCATGTTTAGTTGAGAAAAGAAAAAGGTAAGGGACAAGAGATGAGGGAGCCAAGGGGGGGTAGGGGAATCCCCTCCAAATCTCCCCAATTATAAATCCCCTCTATTCAAGTAAAAATAGAGAGAAAAAATATGTTTGGCATGTCAATGAAAATGAGATAAAAAAATTAATGTTGTATTTATATTCTGCAAAGACCAAAATACTCCTAACCAAACAACTATTGAAAAATGAAAAACCACTATTAGAGGGAAAAAATAATTATTCAAGAAGAAAAATGGATGAGGAAAATATTACAATACTCAATTGTCAACCCATTCAACATAAGATTGTAAAGATCAAATTTCATATAACTAGATCTAAAAATCATGGAACAAATTTAGGGGAGAAAAAGATAAAGATATATACATCAAAAGAGAAGATGGAGATCACAACTCAAACCTGCTAGCCTCACCTCGAATGGATGCTAATATGGCTGCCCTCTTCAAGGTAGTGTTTTAGGTGGAGAATCACAGTGATGGTTGTTGTTGCAACCGAAAAATGCGACGCGAACGGCGTGTGAGCGAAGGTCCCAATCTTCGCAGCGGAAACTGGATCAAACGAGGAGTCGCCACCAAAATTTTGAGGTAAATTTCAAGAAACCGATTAATGAAGGATAAAGATTGTCTACGAAATTAGAAAATAGGTTCAGGAGTCAATTGAGTGTAGTGAAGGTGTTAGGCACATCACGATACCTGTTCGTGAGAACGGCTACATAAAGTTTATTGTGCTATATTAATATGATTTTAAAATTATTTTAATTATCCCTTTTATGTTTATGTATCTAATATAAAAATGATGAGAATTAAGTGAGAAATATTTATTTACTTACGAGGGAGGACTTGACTCAAAATTTGATTCTGAGGCCTACGTACCCTATAATGGAGATTAAAGTCCACGTAATTCGGGCTTAAAAATTTGTTGGTGAAAATATTTCTTGAAGAGAAATTAATTAAAAATAACTCATCATTTTGCAAATAAGCACTTTCTGAAATTTTGATATGTGTGTTTTAAATTGCAAGAAGTAATTTAATTTTAATTATTTCCTCAATTTTCTCAATTTGAAATAAAGAAAAGAAAAAATTTTAAAATTATTTTTCTTTTATGTTTTATGATTGAAAATTTTAACTTCTATACCTGCTGTAAACACTGTATTTTGTCTGAACATTTTTTTTTTCATTTAGTAAAAATAATAATAAATAACCAAAAAATACAAAAATATAAAAATAAAATTTAATCCTTTTTTAGGATTATATTTTAAAAAATATAATAATTTAACAAAATCAAAAATATTTTTTAAATCTTCTAAAATCTCTCTCAAATTATCCCAACCATTCAAAATATTGAGAATTAACTTTTAAAAGTTTACTTTTTTAAATTAACTCTAAAAAATTAGGTTAACAAAGAAAGAAATATATAAAAAAAATAAAATAACCATAAAAACAAAGGGACGTGTGAAATGATATATCACCCACCTCTAAATTGCTTTTCAATTTTCACGGCAAGATCAGTGGAGACACAACAAAATAAAAAAAAAGAAGCACACACAGTCAAAAACAACACACAGAGTACCACCTACGCAGGAGAAGAAAACGCACAGAACACAAAGAAAAAGGGAAAAGCTTCTGGAGATAAAACACAACCACAGCCCAAAAGAGATGAAGAAGACGTGCATGGTAGAAGAGAAAAATGAGAGAACCTATACACACACTTTTGGCTAGCAGAAGGAGCAGAAACAAAACAGAGATGCACGTGCAGCAGCATGCACACACGAAACACATGTACGGCACGTAAACTCTTCACACGTAACTTTCCCTACTTCTATTTTAAAACAAACAAAATAGGAATAAGGAAAGGAGGAGAGCTGGACAAATAAAAAGAGAATAGAAGAGGAAGAGAGAGATGGAAGGGGGGAAAGAGGGAAGGAAAAACAGAGCCTAAAAAAACACAACATGCATGCATGAAGAGGAAATGGACGGGGGGACCAGAGAGTAAGAGAGAGCACTGAAAATAGAGGGTTAGAAAAGAGGAGGAAGATTGGAGGAGGGAGAGACAGAGAACACATGAAGAATTGGGGAGAGAGACCGAGTGCATAAAAACCGAATGAGAAAACAAAGATGAAAGAAAAAGAGAAGAAAAGGATGGAGAATGAGAATGAGATGGAGAATGAGAGATGAGCGAAAAATAGAGAAAAACAGAGGATGAAGGAAACGTTGAAGAGAGAGAAGAGACGGAGATCAGAAGCAAAAAATAGAGATTGAGGGAGAGAGGAGATAAAGATTAGAGAGGGATTTTTTTCTGGAGAAATAGAGACAGAGAAAATTGGAAGAGAAGACAGAAACCAGAGGAAGAAAAAATGGAAGAAAAAATAGAGCATGAACGAGAGAGAAAGAATAACAGAGACTGAGAGTAGAGATCAGAGCAGAAAAGAATAAGTGACTGAGAAGAAGAGAAGAGAACAAACGAGGAGATCACGAAATGGCTTTTTCATCAATGGCGTTAACGTTGTCTCCTTCGGTAACCCGTGGAGACATGAGTGCTTGAGTTTCTTGAAGTTCCTTCACATTCCTTACCAGTTCTTCCAGACACAGGCTTGTTATTAGGGCAGGTAAAGCTGCTCTTTATATGACCAAGAGGAATAGATCATGAAAATTACTGGCACAAACTCACAATTTTCACAGACAGATGAGGACCACAAGTGCTTAAGTTTATTTTATTTTATTAACTGCACTAATGGTTGTCCACATTATTCCTGAACTGTTGAGTGCAAAAACTTGTGAGCTGATTCTCAAGAACAAGGTTGAGGAGCTCAACAGGGAGATGGGACTTACCCTTACACAAAAAGAATCTGGAAGGCATGTTAGAATGTTGACCCATGAGATTAGGAGCACTCTTGACCAGTATACCATTTTGA